CGCTTTTTAAAGTATTAATTGCAAAAGGTAAAAAAATACAGTACAAGCAACAATATCAGCCTTTTTAGGTTTTTGTGATTTTATTTCTCTGAAAGAAGTAGTTCACAGAGTGAATCAGGCTCATGATGCAGTGAGGTGAGAGCTAATGTGGATTAAGCAGGAAAAGTATGTGTCAGTCTCAGTGGCTGGGATATGCAGGGTTTTCTCAGTGTTTCTGAACAGCTTCAAACACACGACAGGCACTGTTTCATGTTAGGTAACAGGAGAAGCGAGCAGGTCTCTTTCAACGTAGCACCCTCTCCTGACAACTTGGCATTTTTCAAACCATATCTGAAAGGTCCCAATTTTAAATTCTGTGATTTTCAAAGCCAAAAAATGAACAAAAATAAAGGCAAAGAGGGCAATGGCTACAAGAAGAGGGTCTTAAAACCAGGCAGATCTGTCATTATAAGTCTCTTCTGCTCCATGTTGCATAAAGGGGCCTTTCTGGTTGACTGGCTCTGTTGAGATGTCTGAACCTCACTGACCTCATACTCTCCCTCATTCTGGGACATGGCTTTGACCCCAACAGCTAGTAATCACGACAGCAGACCATTAAAGAGCCCAAAAATAATGAAGTCGCTATGAGAAAATTAAAGGTCCCATATTATGCAAAATTCATATTATAAGCATATTTTAACAGACATGTATTGAAGCCCATGATTTAGGTTCCCAAATGAAAAGAAAAAAAATCAAAAAACTTTAACCTCTAGCATTGCCTTTATCAAGCTCTTAGCTAATATGTGCTCAAAATGTTCTATTTGAAAACCACGCCCTTTATGATGTCATAAGGGGAAAATAAGTTTATCCGGAGCGGTCTGTAGCAGCCCATTGGTCAAGCTAAGGCCTCCTTCTAGTGCATGATTCAAGACTCCTAGGCTACTTTTAAAAATTCCCTCTGGTTGTCGTGGTTGTGGGTTGTGGTGGCGTGGCCTTCAAGAGGACGTAGGCATGGAAAGCCAAAATAATTTGTCCAGAGGAGGACTGAATAAGGAGATTTTTGGCACATTCTGTCTGCCTAATCTGACAAGAATCTTCCTGCTCAAATGATAAAAACATTTTTTATTTTGAAATGTAGAATAATATGGGAGCTTTATTATAATCCTATATCAAAATATGAAACAAGTCCATCCCATTTAAGATCAGAATCCAAGGATGGCATAAAGGAGATATTCTGTCTGTTTCAAATCCTTACAGGGAATTATGGTTGCTGAGCCCTCTGGGATCCCTTATTTGTGTTCTACACATACCCAGTGAATTATCTGTAAAACAAAAATCAAATGTTCTAAGGAATAATGTGGTTATGAAAAAGCGGAATCATGACATTGCACATGTAGAGTGTGCACACTAATGCATTGCTGAACAACCTTTTACTCAGTGCCTGCATTCAACCATCTCTAAATATATTACTTCTAAAAAACCTGATATGGTTTGAACTGAAATTTACATGAACCAGTAAGGTTTCTGAGAAATTTGTTCATTAGCCTACTTAAGCTAAAGCCACAGTTTTCAGTTATATTTAACAGGATTAAAGCAAATGCTAAGATCAAATTTATGTATAATGGTCCAAATAAACCTTGAGCACTGGGCCAGCAAGTCCTTGAAGGCTTAAACAGTTTGAAATAAGTTTTTTTTTTTTTTTTTTTTTTTTTTTTTTTGAAAAAAAAAAAAAAAAAAGACAGCAACATTCAATTGTTTACTGAAAAAAATATTTGCCTTTGTTTAAACCACATTACATATTTCCAAACATATTTGGTGCATTGTGGGTGTGTAGCACCTTTTGACCAAAACATATTCCCTGTGTTTCTAAAATATTACCTGACAATAAAGTTTTGTTGTGATTCTAATTTGGAGAGCTGAAACTATACCAGCATGTTTCCCCCAGCATCACCTTACATCCAAATGTGCAACCATTTAACATAAAACGCACTTTATGAAAGGAAAATATAGTTTTGAATGCCGTAGTCAGAGTTCAGAATGAGCTGAAGAGGCTTGAGGACAAAAGATTTTCTTGAAACTTTTGCAAGGCAGAGTGAGCAAACATTGAAAACGGTCATGATCTTGGTGCTGATGACTGGCTTGATTGCTCATTTCATTCTCCTGCCTAGCTCTGATCAGTTTTTCATTACCACTCATCATATTCACCAGTTCCAGCTTCTATTTAAACTGCTTGCTCCCAGTCATCAGTGCCAGATTATTCTTGAGCCTTCAGTGAGAGTCAGTTAGCATACCTGTTGTTGTTCTGATTGCCTGATCCTAAGCAGCTCTGCCCTCGGACCTTCGAGCCTCCCTATTCCTGTTTCGAATTTGTTTGCCTGACCTGTCTTCGGACTCCTGCTGGTTTCTGCCTGTGGACTGAACCTGGATCTGCCTCCTGACTTCGACCTGGATTTTCCCTCGGTACCTCTTTGGATCTCCGATCTTCTGGTGTGGACTCCTGTTAACCTCTTCGACACCGGCTTGGGCTTCACCTTCTGGAAACTCCTGCCTTCCTTCGTCTGATTGGAGCTACTCGTCAGCCGGTTTTGCATTCTTCAGGCTCCAGCTCCTGGAACTCTCTGGGCGGCATTCTCTGCGTGCTGTTAGCCATCCGGCTGAATTCCACTGCTTCTTTTGGGCCCAGACTGAACTCTAAAACCAGGTTAGTGACTCACGCCCTACTAATCGCCCTCTTTCAGATTTAAGTGGTCACTAACCTGAGTTTTCCCTCTACAGAGATTCTGGCCTTTGATGTAAACAGCATTATCTGGAATGTCAGATGCTGAAATTTTCTTAGTCTTGTTGTTTGGTTTGCCCTCAGGGTTGACAGGGGTAGGACTTACTAGAAAAATATGATGTCATTTTCCTCATGGCTCCAAGTAAACAGCATTTAAATCAAAGGCGAGTCTTAATGAGTTTTAACATCCTTTTGATTGTAGACTCATTTTGTTATTGTTAGTATTTGCAAATATAAATTTTGCACTCCAATTCAAAGTCCCAAAAAATCATTACAAAAATATCTCAATTGATCATATTGTTGAAATAGCATTTCAGATAAATATGACTTTTGAAAAATAATGAACGAGGGTCAGTTCCGTAGTCGTTTATGAAAAATGATTTTAGGTTATTGATAATTGTGGTTCTTTACATGAGTCACAAATACTATTTGCAGCTCCATGTTCTAAAATTGGACAACCAATGTAAAATATTCAGTGTGGATAACTTCATTACAAAGCTCTATGGAGGTGTTAAACTACAAACGTTCTGCAGACTATTAGCTTCATAGGCGATTACTGTAAAGAGGCTTTGACAAAGTCACTTTAGTGCTGCAGTAGAGAACAACTGGGATTATGTTTTTAAAGAGGAACACGGTGTGTTGTTGTCTCATTAAAAAATTACAGCGTTTGCTCAATCTGCTTATCCTTATTAATGTCCAACATTGGGTTGTGTGAGATTTCCTATGAAAAGTGAGCACAGACTGCTGGATTCAAAGCAGCTGATCAACATGTAGAGCAAAACCATGCAGCCCATGGAATGTTCTGAGCTTTTGAGCATTTTTTCCCCCTGCTGCTCACAGATGAAAGTAAGCATTACAGTTAAAATCCGATTACATCTCCATGCACACAGTGGAGTTTTACTCTACTTTTCCCTTCTCCTTAGATGACTAAACATTCCCTACCTTTATAAGTTTAACAAAACACTTACAGTAAGTCCATCTATGGGATTATAGCTCAAACTTTCAATGATTTCTTCACATATAATCAACAGTTTAGAGGCTCTGAAAGGATTGGTTAACCACAGTGAAATACCTCTGTCTCAGCCTGTCAGCTCAGGAGGGGAAACGTCCTGACCTGGTAGCTTTGGTTATTGTTGGGCTTTGAAACTCATCACTGATTGGTTCATTAAGTTTGTCAGAGGAACATCTCCATTGTACATTTTTAGTCATATGCAAAATGCCAGTCTTCATATTTCATAACATGAGCTGAAAGTTTGTTTTTTATATGTAAAAACTGATTTTTATCACATATATAGCTGTGTGGTTAAAAATGTGCAATAATTACTTACAGGTAACATTTGTGATTATTATCATCATAGCTTTTAATACCTCTGTTCTTATTCAAACACACACACACATCTGTAGAGGACAAATAAAACACACAAGCAGTTGCCACTAAATAAATGAACTTACTTCAAAACAATCCAATAAAAAACAACATAATTAAATAAAAAAAACACAAACAAACAAAATTTTCAATACATTAGTTTTTCATACACTGCTGAAAATAAAATAAAATGTGTACACTAAAAACTTTATTTACAAACAGACCGACAGACAGAGATAGGTAGATTTTTTTTAATTAAAACACTTTTTTTTAGATCTTCTGTTTCAATATGGCATCCTTGTTTTTTCTGTCTGACAGCAATAATAATAATATTAATAAGATAAAAAACCCAACGACCATAGATGACCAAAAAGGGGAAAATAGGCCAACAAACCCTTCTGCTTCATTTTTTTCTGATATTTTCTATGTATTTTGTCGTAAATAAAACTTAGATGAGTAGTTATTTTATCAGTGCTATAAACTACATAGTGCATGCACAAATGCAACCAACAGGCGGACCTGTGCCATTCTTCAGGATGCGCTCTCCATCTCCAGACCTGAGGATATTCCTGTATCTCCTTGCCTTCCTAATTGATCCAAATTCACTTTCTCTGCTATCCCTAAAGACACAGCATGCAAAATAAGCTGCGAGAAAACACTGTGGAGTTTCTTCTCCTCTCTCTCTCTCTCTCTCTCTTGGAGTAGTTAATGCCTAGTTGCTTTTCTGTCCTCACATCACACGAGTTTTGCGCCTCTGGAAGCGCGTTGGGAGCCAAACAGAACCACAGTGATGGCTCTCCCTGCAAGGATGTTATAATAGCCTATTGCCATACGAGGAGATTTTTCTATTCTTTTTTTTTTTTTTTTTTGCAAAAAAACCGCTTATCCGTTTATGTAAAGGTCGTGATGTTGGACGATAAATCCAAACTATGTGTTCCGTCTTTTTATATCGAGAACCTGCTGGGGACCTCCGGCGGGGATTTGTCTGCCGGAAAGCGGGTGGAGAACCCCGGCTTCAGAGTTAGCGGCGCTGCACCCAGTTCGGTGGGCAAGGAGCTGGAAACAGGAATGTTTCCAAACGCTAGAGGTTAGGTCTCCTCTTTCACCTTTTTCACTTGATTGAAACAGCCATAAATCATCCTTTTCATTCGTTGCTCTTTCCAGGTTTATTCGTTTTTAAAGGCTTCAAAGTTCAAATCAACATAATTACATTCATTTTGAGGGGAAGGACTCTATGGAAGAGGATTAGGGTCACTGAAAAATTAAAAAAAAGTTAGCTGATTTTTACATTTTATTTCAGTTTAATATGGGAAAAACTTGTTGTTGACTTGTTTCTCAGAATCCTGACTTAAATCTCAGAATTCTAACTTTAATCTCAGAATTCAGACTTTTTTTTCCCACAATCCTGACCTTAATCTGAGAATTCTTACCTTTTTTTTCACAATCCTGACTTTAATCCCAGAATTCTGACTTTTTTTTCCACAATCCTGACTTTAATCTCAGAATTCTGACTTTAATCTCAGAATTCTGACTTTTTTTTTCTACAATCCTGACTTTTTTCTCAGAATTCTGATTTTTTTCCCCTCAGAATTCTTACTTTAATCTGAGAATTCTGGCTTTAATCTCCAAATTCTGACTTTAATCACAGAATTCTGACTTTTTTTCCCATATTAAACTGAAATAAAATGTAAAAATCAGTTAACTTTAAAAAAAAAAAAAATAAATTCAGTGGCCTTAATCCTCTTCTGCAGGTCTCAGCTCAAGGTCTAGTCAGTTATCCAGAGGTCCAGTCAGAGCTGTTTTATTCAATCAGTGTAGTATCCAGTGGTGAATGGAAGAGGATAGCTGGTTTTTAAATGGGATGGGGTGGGAAATGGGGTCCAGCTGTCAGCCTAAGAGGTAAGACACCAACACCAAGTGTAAAAAAGAAACATAATTTGAGCATATTTATCATGCTGTGGTGACAGAGACTGGGGTGGTTTTGCTCATTTGAGCAGGAAATAAAAAAAATCTATAGTGTTTTTATTCTTTTATTAGATTTCAAGTTAAGCATAGTAAATAATTAAATGTCTTTCTTATAATAATGATAAATTACAGTTAATGAAAATATTAACTTGTTAATTAAGTTTTTTAATATTAATTAAAAACTGTCATAAGAGAAAAGTTTATTTCCTGACATTAAAATTAAAGTTAAGCTAGTTTTCTAACATCAGCAATGTTAGAGTCACTTTCTACCACATCACTTTTCACACATGGATATTTTTTTTGTCACTGAAAATAAATACCACGTTGTTATAGTACATTTAAAAAGCCTAATATTGTCCCCCTTTTAGCTTTTAAGCCTTCATCACACACAGTTTCCATATTTTGCTTCACTTCAACTTAGAAAAAAAACTTTTAAAATGTTTGAATAAGTCTAACTCAGCAAGTTTTTAAAAATACACTTACATCACATGTCAATTGGAATTAAATCCATATCCTTTCTAAATGTATCAAAATCTGCTGAATATACAAAGTCTGCTTGAATGGCTACTGTTAAGAGTTTGTTTCATATAATAAAGGTAAGTGTTCTGAATAAAACAGCTTACTATTGGTTTTTTCCACTGTGACAATGCAGATAATTATATCTAGGGAGAAGGAAACAGTGGAGACTGTCCAATTCAGACAACATTTGTGTTATAATAAGATAATGAAATGGCCCATCAACCCTTATTTAGTCTTTAGTGGTTAATGTAGTTTGCAACGCATGACCTGGTTAAGTGTTTTCAGTACTTTCTCTTTGCAGATAAACAAACCAACACTCCAATTAGCTGCTTTTATTCAGGGAAGTTGGGTACCAAAAATATTAATTATTTTTAGTTTTTGACAACACACTAGTTTAAACCACCAAGGCACTAAAATAACGCGTTTTTTTTTTGTTTTTTTTTTACTTTTTAAAATTCAATCTTACTAGTTATGATTTTTTTTTATTAGTTTTTTTTCTGTCCCTTAAAAGAAATAAATAAAAACGAATTAGTGTTAAAAACTTTAGACAAGTTCAAGTTGACCTAATTTTTTTAATCTGCTTTTATAAGCTGGAAGATGAAACTTATTTTTCCATGAGAGTTTAGCTTAAGATGTGCCAATTATTGGCAACCACTGCCTCAGGGTTAAGAAGCTTAGCTTGCTAACTAGCTTTGACTTTAGCATTAGCGCTGTTTCTAAACTTGCTAAAGTTACATTCAAATTTCAGGACTTGCTCCTGTTCAAAAAAGTTCTCAGCCACAATTCCTCAGCCGCATGTGCTGGACACCTCTAAAGAAAACAGCTGCTTGTGAAAAGCAACTGCTAATGAATACAACTGCTTGCAACATCAATAAAGTTGAAGTTGTAAACAGTAAGTTCTGGTAGGATTTATTACCCAAATAAAAGTAAGATTTGCAGTGCAAATTTATCCATTATTGAAAATTTGCAAATTGAATGGCTAATATTTAAAACATTTAAAATTTCCCTTTATAATTCTCTTTATCTGCTGTGTTTTTGAACCCAAAGTTTTTTCAGGTCCACATATAATGTGAGATTGTTTTGCTGTTGTTGAAGGTTTTGTAGCAGAGCTTCATGGGCTCAGCCTTTCAGATGAACAGGGGGCCCATGGACCAACAGTTCAAGGAGATTTCCAAGCTTCATCAGACTCAGCCGAGGAGAGCGATGAATCAGGGAAGAGAGACAGCAGTCTCACTAATGACAGAAAGGAAAAAACGAAGCATCCCTCCTGCAACCGAGGAGATGATATAGGTAAGATAGGTAAGCTAAAGAACACCAAGGAGGTGAATTTCTTTTTGTCTTCACCTTTCATATAGGCTACTTTACAAAAATACACAGTTATGTAGTTTTTTTTTCTGTTTTCTAATGTCATATAGGTCCAGGTGATATAGATAAGTAACATGTGGGTTCTCACAAAAAGCATACATAAAAAAAAAAAACATTTTTTTTTTGATCTCAGGTGAGGTGAAAATGCTGCGGAAGAAGAAGACCCGCACCGTGTTCAGTCGTACTCAGGTCTTCAAGCTTGAGTCCACCTTCGACCTGAAACGTTACCTAAGCAGCACTGAGCGAGCTGGGCTGGCCGCCTCGCTGCAGCTCACAGAGACGCAGGTCAAGATCTGGTTTCAAAACCGAAGGAACAAATGGAAACGTCAGATCACCACCGACATGGAAACCAGTGGCGCCCTCGCACCGTACACTTCCCACAAGGTCGTCAGAGTTCCTGTGGTGTACAGAGAGAACATCGGCATGCCTGTGACTCTGACCAGCCTACCTCAGGTGTCATCACCAATTATTGGGCTCTCAGATCCCATCACCTTTCCAATGACTGGACACCTTACCCACCCAGTGATGTTCATGTCACAACAGATGGCAGGACTAGTATGATGTATGTTTGGAAATAAAGAGAAAACACTAGAAATTCAAACCAACCAATATAGATGCCCTGAACTTTTTCACGAAACTCTGGGATTATAATTTGTTCTGGATATCTTTTTCTAATAAAGGCAACACAGTCCCATCAAGGTTTTATTTTCCAGCTAATGTCACAAGTCTTCTCAAAGGTTAAGACCTAGGAGTGAAGATCGTGTATTTCATTTTTTCACACGATAGAGGTGGCCACAAAAGTTCTATTTTTGATTATCGTTTTGCTTTTATGGCTTTTTAACAGAAATAATTTTGTTGAATTGGGAACAGTACAACTTTCAGCTGCAATGCTTGTTAATTATTTAGCTCAGACCTTAAAATGTTGGCAAACAAAGTTTCTAATGTGCCAGAAAAATGTTATTTTAATAAATGGTTTATGGAGTATGAACAAATAACTCAATGACACAGACTGCAAAAGCACAGTTCTCATCCAGATGTTAAGCAGTGGACTTTTCTAATGGGACTGGAATGTTGTCTGTCTTTCACATGTAAGCTAACAGTGCTGATTTTCTTTCAGGGAGAAGTACATGGCTCTCAGCCATGGGCTCCATTTTGTTATAGGGCATCACCAGTCATTAAGAAAAAAATCCCCACATATTTATGTTATTTATAACCCAAAATTAGTTTTCTGTTCTGGTTTGAATGTCCATGTAATGTTGCCTGGGTTTCATGCTGTGTGGAGCTCTGTGCAAAATCAAACTAAACTAAGGGGACATGTTCTTACTTTATCAAGAAAATCTGGAATCTTTAAAAATCTGAAATATAAAATACATAGTCCGGTCAGACTTCAATGTGATTAATCTACAATGAACATAAATTCTTTATAAAACACTTAAAGGTATGGCTTAGGATTTTGGCACGTTTTTCAAAAGACCAGCCCTCTACTCTGTAGGAAAAAAATGCACATGCACAACCCTGTACCCGCTCCTGCCTATTAAACGCGCGCAAGAGCGTGTACAAGCCCATTTCTCCTCGTGCAGCTCTATTTAAAAGTTGCCGTCTGCATCGCTCATACAAGCTTACTTTCCAAAAGCAGATTTGTGATTTTTCCACAATGTCAGACTCACCACCGGTAAGTGAAAAAGGGGACAAGCACATAGGACGGCCTTATGTAAACATGATTGACAATTAGGTGTACCACCTATTTTGATGACCCACCCAGAAAAACAACATCCTCCACTATACCTTTAAGCAGGGGCAGATTTAGGAAATTTGGGTCCCTAGGCAAAGACAGGCAGGGGGCCCTCTGATTTGAGAATACGGCACATAAAACAGACCCGTTATACAGATACAGAAATATTACTAGATTAGACATACATTATTTGTTCTACGTTTTGTCCCTCTGTTCTTCTCTCTTTTCTTGTTGTTTTCTTATCTATGTTTTAAACTCAGCTGACTTTTCATGCTGTCTCAAATGGAATGAAAGATTTTTTCCACGCACTAAGCGCACTTAGATGATTGCTTCTTCCTGTGTTTCCATAACACAGTCCTTCTTTTCACTGTAGACAAGCCATGATCTGCTAATCTGTTCTCCATTATTCATTAGGATTAAATAATAGCTGCATGAATCATAACACGAGATAAGATAAAGTAGAGCAGGAAGTGGGGTTACCAATCTACTTGCTCTGGAGAGCAGAGTTTGGTGCTTTTATATGTTGTCGACAAAGTCTCGAGTAGCAGGAAAAGTTGCTAGATTTGGCACTAGGCGCCATTTTTGAAATGAAAGTGCTAGAGGGGTCTAAATAGTCACTAAATATTATGAAAGAAGCGCTAACTTTGCAACACTGCTCTTCGCATCATTTGTTTTCAAATGGTTTGCTGCTTTTTGTTTGGACCTTTCTGAACATGTGCAGCAAATGGATTTATCCAGTTTGGTGACACTGAGAGACACTTAATATTATAACCGTTCTGATGGCATTTTAGCGAAAGGATTTTTATCAAAAAACATCATTAATGTGCACAAATAAGGAATAGTTGTATTAAACATACATATAAACAGAGTTTTATGGGGCCCCCAGGAACCTGGGGCCCTAGGCAACTGCCTAGTATTGCCCAATGGTAAATCTCGCCCCCCTGCTTTTAAGCATGTATGTCCCTCCAAGTATGACGTACAACAATCACACATCCTCTAAGGGTTCCTTCTAGCTGGATTATATGTCGTTTCACAAAGCACCAATCTTTTCCAACTGGTTTCTGACCAAATGAAAGGGTTCACTGTACTGCAGTGGCTTACAGTCAAGAAATCTTAATCTAACTTTGGGTTCTTTTGTGGTAAATTCATGTTATTGAACGGCTGTCTTCAAGTCAGGAGCGACTGCTTGGAACTATCATGACACTATGGACAACAGCCTTTGTAAGTATTTTCCACTTCACAAACTATTATTTTGTTGTTTTTTGTTGCACTTCACCATTGGAAATAATGTTGCACATTTTGATATCAAAGACATTAAATGCTCTTTTCCAATGATGATTTCATTTATCGAAGGATTAAACTTATTCAAATCAACCAGGGTCAATCTGAGAAAAGTGTATTACTCATTTGTTAAATTGTAGATTTACAATGATGAACATTGTTGTAAACCTTTTTTTAATTCACAACCAGCAAACCTGAGCACAGATTGAACTAAGATTACATCAACATGAAGTTGAATAAGGTATCCCCACAGAAAAGGCTTAAGCTTAAAGATGAACCCACCTGAAGCCGAAAGCCAAAGAAGGAAGCGAGAAATAGGAATTAAACACTGAACTCAGGAGAGAAAAAAAAGGTGTTTGTGTGGACCGACAACTGAGGAGCAACAAGTAGTGAGTATAAAATCCACAATAAATTCTACAACTTCTAAAATGCAATCGAAAATAGGCTGGTAGGGTTATTCTCATAGGGCTATAAAGGAGAAGCCGCAGGGGTTGGCAGTTGGTTTCCAATTTAGTTGGCTTCACGGCTGCTTTGTCGTACCCCTAACCAACAAAGAAACTTATCTTATATACTCAAACCCGACTTTGTCAGGGCCTGAGATAGGAATGTTTAAAGGCAGACCATGTGACCTAAAGAGTCGACGCATATGAGTTATTTTAAATGATTCCTCAGGCCAATATACAACACTTTACACTATCAGTGCTATAAGCAGGGCTCCCCTCTTGAAATACCGCCTATATAAGTTGGGAGAAGATGCACTGTCGTTGGCCAGGTCATGTAACCTGGAAGAACATATAGCTTTATGGCCACAGGCTCTTATGTCATCATGGAGATAAGGCTTTTGATCTACCATTTTTCCACCGGCTCGACTACTGGTCATGGCATAGGCAATGAAAAAGTTTAAACTTTCTGAGGAGGCTAAAAGAGTCGATCTTGGTAAGTAAACGTGAAAGGAATCATGCATGAGGAAAAACAAGAGTCGATCTTGGAAAGGAGTCTGTTCGTTGAAAGAAAAAGCCGAGTGCAAAACTGATTCTCTTTTCTCAACTTTATTATTAGACTAGTAAGTAAGTAAGTAAGTAAACTTTATTTGTATAGCACTTTTCACAGACAAAGTCACAAAGTGCTTCACATGATAACATAAAAACAACACAAGTAAAAACAGATAAAATGCAATAAAAGCTATAATAAATAAGGGAATAAAACAACACACTATGTGCTTTGGAAGGCTAGTGAAAACAGGTGTGTTTTTAGCTGCTTTTTAAAGATAACCACCGAGTCCAGAGAGCGCAGGGACAGGGGGAGTTCATTCCAAAGACTACTAAGTTAACACTTTGCCGCTAGTATAGTTATATATCTATGTTAGTATTTTCCATGTTTAGTAGAAGCTAAATATGGTCAGTTAGAGGTCTAGCGCCCCTAGTGGCCAAAAGTTCTACATTGTGCCTCTCTAACTGTAGAGTACTCAAAGAGGGGTTAAATATCCTAAAAAGCAACACTTATTTGCTCAATATGCAGAAACTCCAAAACAGATCTGGAAAAAAAAGTTTATGTGCATCTGGGAAGGTTGCCCGCCTAGCAAAATGACTCCAAGAACAGAGCAACAGCTCATCCAGGAGGCCACAAAAGAATCTAAAATTATAGTTATGTCTCTGAAGGTTTGTCTTGAGTTGGTTAAGGTTAGTGTTAAGACTACACACTAAGAACGAGGATGGAAAGAAATGGCATTCATTGATGAGTACCAAAGAATAAAAAAAATTTAATAAAAAAATCCCCAAAAGTGTCATAACCTAGCAAGTTGAATTTCAGCACTAGCACATTTGCCAGAAAACTAACCTACTACCAAAAAGTTGATGTTGAAAGAAAATGAAGATATTCTGTTGATTGAAATAAAAATAAAAAACATTTCAAAGGTGCTCACACTTTTATATAACAAAACATTTCAGAAAAAAATATATTATGGCATCCTTCACAGTGGTGCTATGCTGCTTTATGATGTGGATGACTTGCCCAAATAGATTAAACCACTTTCTACTGGAAAATCCTGACAAGAATGTTTAGCCATCAGTACTTGAGGCAAACCCTAAACTATAGGTCCCAAAAAAGGAAAACAAAAGAATAAAGAATTTTAGAGTGACATAAGTTTGACTTGTCAAAAGCAGTTTAGATGCTGTGGCATAACAATAACTGGCCATACAATCTTAAAAAGCTTCCACTGTATCTAGATTTTAACATTTTGCTGATAAAAATGGACTAGACATCCTGAAAAGATATTTGATGAGAGTTTTTGCCATCAAGGGCAGCATAAACAACTTAGTTAGAGTTTGGGGGCAGTTTACTTAATAAATGCAGTTTAAAATGGAGCACTGATCTTTACAATTCCTATTGTCACTATGGAAAGCAGAAACCGAGGAGAAAGAGAAAAAGAACAGAGAACACCCAAGGTGGTATTCAGGAAAATCTCCCAACATGATCTGCAAAGTCCAAATTATTGATTGCTCTGATTTGGATTAATTAATATAATTTGAGAGATTCCTGAGATAACTTTAATGCAGAGGTCATCTGTTAAATAAATGTACTTTATTGCGACTATTTATCAATCTGAATGCAATATTATTAGTCCATATAGAGTGGCATAGTGAGGCACACATTCTCCTTAATTAAGATACATTTGTGGCAGACCTTTGTACATGTTTAGTAACATATGTCAAGAAAAATGCATGCAAGCATTTGATGATGTAATAGAGCATCCATTTGGTATGAATGAGATTGTATGCAAAATAAAAAAATTATTCAAGCAATGTAGCTCAGATTTCAGGGCTATAAAGTTCTTAAAGAAATATTCAAAGAAAAAAATTAATATTATATCTCTATATTTATACAGACTGAACTATTCTTTATAATGTCTTCAGTTTGGCTTTAGAAAAATCTGAACACCTTTGAATATTGATGGTGCATTTTATTGCACTAACACTGAGCTCTGAGTTAAAAAAAAAAAGCTGAAATTTGTTTGCATTGTTGGAAAGAAAAAAAAATCAAGCGCGCATAAATTTGCATGAATGGAATAAAAGTTGGAGGCTACAATATGGCGAGCAGACGTGAACGCTGATCCCGCCTCTCGTCGGCTTCCACGCAGCCACCAATCAGAGGCTGCAGATCCCGCAGCCTTCCGGGATCCCCGGCTCCTGTGCGCCCCAGTCTCCGCCGTGGAGGAGAGCGATGCGGCTCGGAGAGTCCGGAGAGGTCGGTGAGTGTGGAAACCAGCAGGAGCGCATGAGATGCCCGGGAATATGAGCAAAGAAGACGGACCGAGTCGGAGCTCATGTTTTACTTTCACCATCGACAGCATCTTAAACCTGAAGCAGCGGCAGGACTGTGCGCGTTTGGACGTCTTAAAGGACACTGAGTGTAAAAATGATTTTCAGAGATGTCAGGAAGTGTGGGACGTCCCGAGAAAGCAGCACATCGATGAGACAGGTGACTCTCACGTGTTTATGCTTCTAACAAACAGAAAATGTTTATTTTTGTTCTTTTAAGCACATGCGATAGACTAAGGGAAATCAAAAGTGCGCGTTAGGCTTAAAACAGTGTCGCCTCTATCCACAGATAATCCCGCAGCCCGTTCAGCGGATCGGGGGAAGACCAGCGCGTCACCCACCGATCCATCCTCTCCGGGTGCGCACATTGCGCACGGTCCGGAGCACCAGCCGTCTGCCGCCGACACCAAAGCCACGGTCAAGAAGAAGACCCGCACCATCTTCTCCAAGAGGCAGATCTTCCAGCTGGAGGCCACCTTCGACATGAAGCGCTACCTGAGCAGCTCAGAGAGGGCATGCCTCGCCAGCTCGCTGCAGCTCACGGAGACCCAAGTAAAGATTTGGTTCCAGAACCGCCGCAACAAGCTGAAGAGACAGCTGTCCACAGACACAGAGAGTCCGCTGGGCGCGGAGCATTTCTCTGAGGCGGGGAAAAACACGCAGTTGGCGAGTTTTTACAAAGACAGCAGCCTGCTGGGCGGATGTTTGTTACCGATGCCTTTTCCCGTTGTTTATCCGACTGCGAACGCTGCGCCTTACATCTACTTCTCCAACTCTGGCAAATATTTTGGCCTGTTTGATACAGACTGATGTCTTCTTTTCTTTTTTTCTTGGACACTACGGGCGACAATCATCTGCGATCAGCATATTATTCTATTACTTTATTTTTTGTATTTTTTGCGGCCGCTTTGGGTATTTTTGTTGAACATACGTCTCAAAAATGCATGTGCCACTTTTATTATTATTATTATTATGACTATTATTTTTATTATTATTATTATTGAATGGCGTTTAAAATCATCAGAGCAAGGATTATATCGCATCAAGTCTCTCTGATTGAATGTACCAAGTGAGAAATCAACTTTCTTACTGCGCGGTACTTGTGTGCGTTTTTGCGCGCGCGATTCTGAACTTCTGTATTTATATAACGACTTATTGTTTTGTTTTTTCAACGGTTTATGCTCACTTGACCTTCCATAAGACTATTAAACTGTGAACGCAGTTTTGATCATGAAAACAAAAGGTTTTGCAATTAAAAGTGGAATATATGCAATCCATACAGACACTGAACGGAAATAAAAAAAAAATACTATTAAAGCTTTTTTTTTTGTAGTTTTTAGGTAATAAGTTGAAGGATTTTTTTAAATATAATTTTTATAATCTAATAATGCTGTCTACAAACTTTACTAAAAGCAAACTCCAGCCATTTTAATGGTTTTCTGATTTACTGAAAGCCTGGTACTTTGATATAGATCTGTGCAGCCGAATATGTTGCAGAGGACAGTTTATTTCACTGTTCCAAAAGAGAAGTCCGTAAATACTTCAAATAAAATGTAAAGCAAATAAAAAATAAAAAAAAATATTTCTTTATACTTATATGCATGCGTTTTTACTGTGATCTGCATTTTTGAGTTTGTTCAAACTTTACCTGTCACAAGTCTATTAGAAATAAGCTCTAAGAAGCTTTTTATTTCATTAAATTATTGATTGAATACTTAAAAAAAAAGCTATTTTGTGGAAAATTGACATAATCTTCAAAAATCATTAACTTTTGTATACATTTAGAGATTCATATGGAGATTTCAAAGTAAGGTAGAAAAGTGAAAAGGGTTTAACAAAGTTAGAATATTAACCAAGACAGATGTAGAATAAAAAAAATTTCTATGTGATTTTATCAAATTATTTATTTGCATAAAAAACTGTGTCAGTTACTCACAACAGGTTGGAGCACTTTTTTATGGTAGATTTGGCTTTGAGTAACTTCAGCCACCTGTGTCTAAGTGCTAAAAATAAAATGATGTTATTATAATTAGTCCTCCAAATTCTGAATCTTTAACTAAGCTTTTTTAATTTCCAGTAACTGATATAAATACATATTCTGATTTAATGTCTTTTTGGGGAGAGAAACAGCTAACTGTGTCACCTTTCATGATAAACTCCATTAATGTTAATGCTTTTTGTTGTCTACAGGGTGTAGATTTTTATGCTGCAGCAGTAAATCTGTGCTATCTAGAGAAAAATGAAGAGCGTGGTCCTTAAGGTGGTCTAAGGCCATTTATATTCCAATTAGCTGGTATTTTATGGAGTTTAAGTGTGAGTTTGTTTATGTTGTCAATGCGTGTGTGCACAAATGGGTGCAGAAAAACAAACTCCTAATCACTGTTTCTCTGAGTTATGCATCACTAAAGAAACACCGAGGGATTGAGCGAAATGTGTGTTTAAGCAGATTCACCTCAGTGCCTCTACACAGATTTTTTTTCTCCTTTTTCTCTGATAGGGCCCGGCAAGCTGCACTTTACTCAGTGTTTCCGGGTCACTTCCCCTCTCAGCGCTGGAGCCTGTCGCTGCTTTCTCCCTGTCACAGCCATTCAAGGCCCTGTCACCATTAACCTGCTCATTCACCCACTTAGTCTGCCTGCAGATCGCTTGTTGTTTCTGCTGAATTCCAGTCTTTTACCTTTGCTAGTGCACACTCTCAACTTTTGCAAAAAGATAAGAAAATTGTTTGTCTGATGTCAAACTGGGGCTAATTGGAGCATATGGGGGTGATTTAAAAGGTAATAAATTGTAAAAGAAAAAAACAACAAATAATTTGGTTTAACGTTTTTTTTTGGACAATTTTTTTTATAAATCTATACACAGTATCACATCTCACATAAGTGAGTACAACCCACATGTTTCTGTAAATACTGCATTATATACAATACTACAACAGAAAAAAAGTAAACAGATTGTATAACCTGGCAAAATTGTTGACTGCTTAAAAAGAACTAAACCCACAGCCATCATTGTCTAAATCGCTGACAGGGAAAGTGAATACACCCCTTAGTGAAAATGTCCAAATTGTGCCAAATTAAACATTTCCCTCCAAGGTGTGATTAGTGTTACAAGATCTTATGTATGAATGGGGAAGCAGGTGTATTAAAGTTGATATTATTGCTCTTGCCTTCTCTCATCATCGCTGGGAGTCCAACATGGTACCTCGTGGTGAAGAAGTATCAGCTGCCCTTGCTTCACTACACCTGATTTCCACTGATTGCTGATTAACATGCTTCTGGTGAATGGCATTCATCAGGAAGTTGAAATATGCAAAATGCAGGGCAACTTTTTCGGACCAACCTTTGAGACCCCTGCTTTACATAAAGATAGAGGAACAACTGGGGGAGGAGTACAAAGATAAGTGAGTGCTGCATACAGTAGAGCACAGTGGTGGTGGTATTATGGTTTGCAGACTCGATGAGCATTGCTGGCTATTGGAAGCTACAGTTCATTGTGGAATCCATGACTGACCATAAATATTTTGAAATACTGAGGCAGAGTTTGATCTGCTCTCCTTGAAAATCAGCTTGTGAAGTTCTTGTGAACTGCTGCTCAAACAAGTTAAGGCTCGTGCATAATATCATTTTAGGCAAAATACACACATAGGTGTGTATTCTTTTTCACTGACATCAGGAGGACAGGAAATTTACCCCACAAGCTGTACACTGACTGATTTACATTAAATTAAAGAGTCATCTATATAAAAAGATATTTAAAAAATTGAAGGGTGAACTTACTTTGGCCCGATACTGCATACATTACAAGAACAAATACTTTTCATAAACACATAAATTAATCTAGGTCTAATTTACAGCGTATGACCAAATTCACTTCCCCTAAAATATTTTTTCAATTGACTTTATTAGAATTAAAGGCACAACATGTAACTTTTGTCCACTAGGGGCGCTAGACCTGTAACTGCCTGTATTTTGCTTCCACTAAACATCAGAAATAATAACAAATATATATGACTGAATACTAGGAGCTAAGTGTTAACTTAACAGTCTAATAATAATAATATTGAGAAAACAGAATCGGTTTTACATGCGGCTTCTTCTTTCAGCCTTCGCCAACGAACAAACTCCTTTCCATGATCGACTCCTGTTTTTCTTCACACACGATCCCTTTTACGTTTTCTCTTTTTAGCCATCTCAGAAGATTTAAACTTTTTACTTGCCTCAGCCATGACCAGTAGATTACTGACTATATAAAAGCCTGCGGCCAAAAAGCGATATGTTCTTCAAGGTCAGATGACCTGGCCAACGAAGGTCCGTCTTATCCCAACTTATATAGTTTTTATTTCAAGAGGGGAGCCCTGCTTGTAGCACTGATAGTGTCAAGCACTTCACATTTGCCTGAGGAGTCATTTAAAATAACTCATATGTATCAACTCTAGTCACAAAGTCCGCTGAGTGTGTCTTTAAAAAAACAAACCAATCAGCATTCTACTCCAGCTAGCTTTTATTGAACAGCTGAGGTCAAATATTTTATTAATTATTCTGTTGTCAGCTTTTCATACATGTATCTATATGAAGTTTAAATGAAAAGCATTACTAACTCTCCTAGCAGGTTCATTTATCAATTTAGGCTGGAGGTAATTTTTAATTACAGTTTTCTCATCTTTATTGACAGCCCTATTAAGTTGTTTATTTGTTTTTATCTGAACATTTTCTTAAAAGTGTCATCACTTGGGTGTTGGGCCTCAGTTAAAACCTGCCAGACCATCCAGAGTGTAAAAAGTGTTTTTTTTTTTTTTTTTAATTGTTTAGGCTTCTCAAAGAGCATGATTTTGGTCTTCCTACTTGATTTACGTAATTTGTGGAATGATGCTAATATTAGCTCAACTTGATATCATCTCTAACCTTGGTAAATTCCTACTGTTTGAGTATGAAACAGGGAAAAAATTGTGAACGAATCATGGCAGACTGCTAACGTTGCTGACGCTACACCCATATGAACACGCATACACACAGGTCAAACTGTGTGTAACAACGCAAGAAAAACCATGGGACATGAAAATTGGTCCTATTGTATTTATTTTTTCTCTTAAAAATGATAACATATTAGTTTATAGTTTATCTACCATGTATTTTACATATACATTTTTTTTTTTTAGAATAATTGGTTTCCTTTAGAGTTAGAATTGTACTTACATATTATTTCAGTGGCGTAACCTTATAAAATGACTTATGTGAGAAAATGTCTTTGGTGCAGGAAAACTTATATTTCTATAAACCAAATCACATTAGTCACATTTATTGAAACTCCTGAATTTATTTTGAAATCTAAAACGATTCACTAGTAATAATCACCAATATGTTCATTAGAGCACAAAGACCTTCTGATTTGTAGAGGAATAAATATAATGTGGCACAAAGGCCTATTGACACTGAAAATACAAGCAAGTCAGATCCACAGCTACGGATGCATAACTACTACTTTAAATTTGCCTCCCTTCACCCATTGATCTATTGTCAATAGTGCAATAATACCAAAAAAATATATAAAGCAATGTTTATGTTACTAATGTTTATAGTGCAGAGGTAAGGCAGGTGAAAAGAAACAAAAAAAGAAAAACCTTTAAAGCTCCTTACTAAGAAACTGCAGCAAAGAGCATCCGTATTTTTTGCCAAGTATCCAAAAACAAAAAGATACTAAGGGTGTTGTGAACATCTTTAACAGAAGTGTCAATAACAATGGAATTATGAAACTGGAATTGGAAACTATAATATAATAATGTAACTCAAATCTTCAGGTAATTATAAAATCCAAACGTCATAGGAAGAGAAAAAAAGAACCGTAATGTACACTATGTCATTTTTTAGTTTTTTAGATAAAGAAATCTTCAAGACTAAATATCATTTTTGCCACATTAGTAATATTACCAAGCTTTTCCAATTGAATTTATTGAGTTTATTGAGTATTGAGTTTTGTGAATTCTGTCATAACTCCAAGTGTTTTAAAATCTTGTGCAAACCTTTAAACTTAATTTTTTCCAGTCCAACTACTTTCTAGAATTTTTATTTTATCATGAATTTAAACCATTCAGAAATACATTTTATAACAAAATAAACTAAACTAGATGATGCAAAAAAAAAGTCTAAAGTTTTTTACCTTGTATTTGCTTTGCGGCTCAAGAATTTTACATCTGACATTGTTACTCCTTGTATTTAAAACTTGAGGGCGCATACTGTGTATTATATCACTTCTAAATGTAGCTGGATCACCAGGCATAAGGGAAATAATTATTAATCAGTAATCCAGACTTTTAAATGTGAATTTGATTATTAAACTGTCATATTCCTATATTTATATTTAAGTTGAGGGCATTAATTTAAAAATAAAGCCCCTAGATATTTTATTTTTGATTCAGACTGGTAAAAGCTATGCTTAAAATGTTGGTGCAACAATATTTTTCATAAAGCTGTAATTATAAGTTGTTAAACTGTTGTTGTCTGCTGATAATACATATTGCAAATGTTTTGATCAAGGTTGTAATAAGGTTTGTATTTGCAAAACTATCCTAGTGTGGGTTACAGTGTGTGAGTTTGAGTGTGTGCGGACGGTTAGTGTGGATGCTGGATGGTGTTTACAGTCGCCAGACTTCCTGACTCTCCCACTGTCGGCCACTTGTGAACGCAGCTTTGGCTCTTTGCTTCTCAATGCTCTCTCATCTGCAACCGCAAGGTTCAAATGACCCCACCGGCTGCTCACAGTCTGCGCCGAGCCAGACTGAAACCCCACAGCCTCATCTGTCACAGGCGAAAAAAGATCCATTAAAATCTGGGTTTGATAGTTTAGACAGCTAAGGGCTGGAGTCTCTGTGTGCTTATTTGGAGCTATTGATCAGTGGGAAATGTTGTGATGTAGTTTAATACCTGCAATTAACTAATTGTAATTAGTAAAAGCAAAGATTGTTTCAAGAAAGAAGTCAAACCTTGTGGTATTTTGGTCTCATTTACTTTAACAAGTTTTTCAACATTAAATCATGAGCCACAAGGCACATGGTTCTGATATTATGTAAAATGTACAGTATGGATAAACAACATTGTGCATTAGTACACCTTTAGCAGGAATCCTCCTGGTAAAAACTAAACTTTCAACAGTTTAAAAGACTAACACATTTGCTTTATTTCTTTAAAAGTTGGTTAAGCTCTGTTGTGTTGGATTGGGAAACGTCAGAGGCGTACTCTACTTTTTCTAAGCTGCAGTAGTTGCTCAAAAGTAGGTTTAGAATTAATAGACCTTTTTAAAACAGGTTTTTGTTTTGATCTTTTATCTTTCTCATGCTGGAAGGGGGAGTTTGTAGCAAGGTTTTCTTCAGAGGTTGCTCTGCATTAAGCTCTATTTATCTTCCCTCGTTCCTGTTGAATAAACCTACAGTACTCTCACAGGACGATGTTGAAACCACCATCTTTCTCTATGTGATTGGTGTGTCCAGGGTGATGTTTGGTAATTGTCTTTCTCTACACAACAGGCTTTGCCTTTAGACTAGAGATAGACCCATACAGGTGTTATACGGCGGATATTGATAATTTTGACATAAGTCTAACCGATCCCTCATATGTGCTGCCGAAATTTTGGGGCCAATTCTTGAAGCAGATATTGCCTTTTCTTCCTGATGCCGATAATAAAAATAGCCCTAAGATAAAAAAAAATTTTTAAACATGACTTAAAATAAAATAAAAAAAAAGGAACAATTATTAACAAATAAATAGAAGCAGCAGTGGATCCTAAATGGAGGGAATGCCATACATCAGCTTCACATGACTCCAACCATGGCTGCTGAATGCAGCAATGACTCGACAAATGCACCCATTTGTTGATACGGATACAAGAAGAAAACCTGAACAACTGCCAAAAATATTGGCCGGCTATCGTTCTACTATAGGCCTGACTGTTTTGTTTTCATTTGAGCAGCTTCCTCTTCCATATGACTTCTGAGGAGTCACTTAAATCAAGTCATTTAATCCAGAATCAGAATTAGAATCAAGTTTATGGCCAAGTAGGTTAGTACTTAAAAAATAATTTGACTTGGTGTTGATGTTGCAGATATATCTATATATATATCTATATATATATAGATATATAGATATATATACAAAATTTCACAAATCATATCTATATACAAATAATCCGTGTATATATATATATATATATATATATGCAGACAAATTAGATATACAGATATTTATAGAATATAGATATATTCTGCATCTCCTTCCTGGCTTATAATTGGATTAATTAATTTAGCTCATAATTAAATTGCAAATAGGATTTTTTTTTATATATATATATATAGATTTTTTTACCTTCACTGTAAAGGTCGATTTAAAAGAAAAATGCAGATTTTTTTTACCAAATAAAATGATTTGGCCACACTGAAATAAGATAATGGAGATGTTTCATTCTTATTTTAAGGACTCATACCATTTAGACAAATGTTTACTGACCTATTTATATCATGTGTAAATAAACGTATTTAAGAAAATATTATACTTTTACTTCACTTTTTGCATTGCAACTCATCCATTAAGACCTGTTTTGTGCCAATTGCTGCCCATTTAAAAGAG